CCGACATCAAACAGTTCTCTAATATATATAATCGCCATTTGTTACAAATCATCGCCACATATGTTTTATGCCTTAATTATTCTAAATTAAATCTTATACTATTTTATCATTGGCCACACAAAATTTAGAAATAACATCATACAAAGACTTTTTTTTCTCTTTCTTTATTGATTTTCTTACTATAAATTAATTTTACAATAGTTCGTACTGCCATTAAATCAAATCGGATATATATATATATATATATTATCTGTCTCATCAATATAATGTCATTATATAACTCATAAATTGAATTTATTTTTAATTAATAAAATTTTAAATACCACTTAGTTCTTAAATATAGTACCAAAATATCTAAGTAATAGATGTTACTCTTAGTGTAATTAAACATAAATTGGAATCACGCATACTATATATTGTCATTTGAGCTCAAATCATCTAAAAAAAAAAAACATTTTAGCTTTATACGGCATTGTAGGGCTTGAAAAATTTCATACACGCTTAGTTCTGTCGACTCCCAAGTTCGAAAGATTAAAGTTCAGAGAAATGCGGGCGAAGAATGGAAGAATCAGATTAGAGTATTCGGATTAAAATATAATTAAAATCTTATAAAACTTTGAAAATTATTTTTCTATGAGGTCAGCTTTGGGATGAAACTTTAACAAATGAAATTTCATATCAGAACAAATCAATGTTTACGAATTCCTTTAAGTTACATTCAACAAGTTAATTTGCTGGCAAGCGTTTCAATAACTTAAAATGAAACATAATTAAAGATACTTGTTTATCAAGATTACGACAGCACAATAAAAATTAAAAAAAAAAGCCCATTTAATTTCACATCGCCCAAGTCCTATATATTTCCATATCAAACACTTAAATATTATTTTTTTACATTTATGCAAAATCACATAAAAAATATCATCATTATAATTTTTAAGAAGTGAAATACACTTTTTTTTTTCATAGTAGTTGTTTAACGTATTAATGTTACACGTATGTCTACAGTATCAGAAGTAATGAAGAACAATAATAGGACAAGGCACTTTGACTTTTTATGTGGAAAGTCTTGGAAAGGGGAAAAACCCACACTGCTTAGCTAGTTGAAATAATCATCTATGTAATTTTGAGTACATGAGTTCACTCTTTTCCAGAATTAGGGAAGGTCAAGTCACAAAGTTTATATATACTGACAGCCAACAATAATAACTATAACAGGCCCAAAGGCCATGAAGGCAATAGCCCGTCATGAATGCTATAAACAGTGGTTATAGTGTCAGCTTGTCGTAGAGACTATAGTTGCAAGTCGTGGTAATTGTTGGTAATGTAAGCCTTAAAGGAATGCTTCAGGAGTTTCGGTTGGCCACAAAAGTCATAGTAACGAGCTGCAAGTGCTATGAGCCACTTAGGCCATAGTGGTGGGTTGAAATGATGTTCGTATGTTTTAGAGGCCGGAGTCAAGAGCTGCATAAGTCTTTATAACGTCTACAGGTTGTACAAGCCTGAGTTGAGAGCTACATAAGATGTGGTAACATCCGCAGGTCGTAGAGGCTGAAGTTGGGACCTGCATGAGTTGAGAGCTATAATGGCGTGCATAAGCTGCAGAGACCGGAGTCAGGAGTGACATGAGTCGTGATAACATTGGTAGGCCACAGAGGTAAAGTTGAGAGCTGCTCGAGCAGTGGTAACATTCATAAACCATAGAGGTCGGAGTTGGGAGCTGCATGACCTTTAGGCTACAGTGACATGATTGGTTACATAGGTCGTAGGATATAGTGGTGAGTTGTGCTGATGTCCGTAGACCACAAAAGGACAAAGTCATGAGCTGCACAGACTATGACGATTATAGGCCATAAAGTCAGGATTTGAGAGATACATGAGCTATGATATAATATATAGTTCATAGAGGTCGGAGTTGAGAGTTGCTAGTTGTGAGCCACATAGGTCATAGTTGATCACATAGATCTTAGTGGTGAGTTATGATAACGTCTATAAGGTGTAGTGGCCCGAGTTGTGAACCACATAATCCGAGTTAATCACGTAGGTGGTACTGGTGAGCCGCAATAACGTTTGTAGGTCATGAAGGTGAGACTTGGGACTGTAATAATGTTCATAGGTCACATATGCTGAAGTTATGAGCTACGTGAGTTGCGAGTCACGTAGGTCGTAATGGCGAGCTGCGATGACGTCTGTAGGCTGCAGAGGCCAGAATCGAGAGTTGCACGAGCTGTGGACCACATAAGTTGTAGTTAACCGCACAGGTTATAGTGGTCAGTTGAATTAATGTTTACAAGCTGCAAAGGCTGGAGTTGGGGGTAATAATAACTTTTATAAACTGTGGAGGCTAAATTTGGGAGTTGTGTGAGTTGTGAATTACGGAGGCCATATATGGTCATTAGACAGTGATGGGGAGTTACACAATACTCGAGATGTATTGTTACACTGTCTTTGTGGTGCATCGTTGCACCATCTTCAAGTTGGCATCGTTACACCGTCTTTGGGGTGCATTGTTACACCTTATTAAGACACGTTACTGCATCGACCATTGGGTGGTGCAGTTATAATTTCTTTGGGGTGTGTTGCTGCACCATCTTCGGGGTGTGTTGTTGCACTATTTTCAATGTTTATTGATGTACTGTCTTTAAGGTGCGTTGTTGTATTACTTCGGGGTGCATTTTTGTATTGTCTTCATGGTACATTGTCACACCATCTTCGGAATGGATTGTTGCACCATCTTTAGATTGGTGCATTTACACTGTCTTCGGGTTCATTACTACACCGTCTTCGAGGTGCATTATTGCACCATTTTTTGGGTGTATTGATGCACCATCTTCAGGTTATGTTGTCACACTGCTTTCAGATTGTGTTGTTGCACAGTCTTTTGGTGCATCGTTGCACGGTTTGGTGCTTTGTTACTTTACAACGTACGCCGAGATTTTTTAATGCATGTCATAATTTAGCTTCATCCCCCGACCCTTCTTTATGCTAATTTTTAAGTTCCCTCTCAAAAGGGGGGTAGGGGTCTTTTTATATAGTGTGAGAGAGGTCTCACTGAAAATACAGCAGAAAATCATATCACTCTATCGGACGGTTCAGAGAGATTTTTTCAATCAGACGACCTTCTGCAAATATTTAAGTGTCTTAATGATGTCAGAATTAAGTGATATTGGATTCGTTGAACTCGTTTTGTCAAGATGTTCGATTTGAAAAACGATTTATCATATATGAAATCCATTTGATATTCCATAGGCATTGAAAGCTTTAAAAAAAATTTAATGGCTTGATCCTGACTTAATTTGACTCAGATTAGACCAACTTTAATGTCATTGGGTCTATCTAGACGAGCTAGTCATCTTGACTTACAGTTTGATAAATATATAATTTTAAATAATTTTAATTGAAATTTGAACCTTTTTTATATATTTATTTTAAACTTTATGTCACTGTCTGGGGTGTATTTTTAATTGAAACTTGAACATTTTTTTAAAAAAATTATCTGAAAATGTTGAAATTTTTTTAATATTATTGATCCCAGATTCGTCTTTTAGATCATGCAAAAGGATTAAAGCATATTGACAAGGAAGCGAGAGGAAGAGAGAGGGAGAGGAAGATGTGTCTCGTTGGGGCGAATCAGAGTTCTCAGGGCTCTTAGACCCATTTTATTTCACTGACTATTTGTGTGAATGGAGAGGGGAACAAAAAAATCTTTTTATATGAAAAGGGTGACTAAATATAAAATTACATAATTATTCTTGCTTTAAAGATTTGTATATGGTATTCTAATAATTTGTATCTGAACCGTTAGATTTATTTGAGATCCAAGCAAATCATTTTTGGGAGTGCAAATATGCACATATAATACAATAGGAAATGAGTGGCATGTAGTGGTGTAAACGAGCCATCTCATGTTCGGCTCGTTTATATTTCGAGCTCAAAAGGTGTGTTCATGTTCGGCTCGTTTGCTTAGTGAGCTGAACACGAGTCGTTCATGAACAAAAAATCGTCTTGACAATCCTAATCAGATAATCATAAGATGTTAAGAATTGGGGCAAGATTTAAAAATTATTGTTTATATTAAAACATCATTTGAATTGAATCTAATTTAATAAATTTTATTCTATTTTCTTAATTAATACTTATAATTGATTATAGATCTTTATAACCTTGTAGTCAATTAAGTTTTTTAAAAATAATGTTCATCAAAGATATATATAATTGATTAGTGGTATTTCGAGCCAAAACGAGCCGAACACGAACGAACAAATCTTGATTCGTGTTCGTTTCGTTAACTTAGCGAACGAGCCAAACACGAGATTCTTAGCGAGCCGAACACGAGCTGTTTGCAAACAGCGAGCCCTTTTTACAGCCCTAGTGGCATGGCCCTAGATCTAAAAAGTAAGTTCGAGCAGACCGTAAGGTAGTGAATACTGGAATCCGGCCGGTGGTAATCATGGATGATTTACTAGTTTTAACGGAATCGAAGCCGTCAAAATTTCACCGAATGCCGTAATCCTGTAATTGATTTAAAATACATAGTGAATTAGTAATGTGCTAAAGTTACACGTTACCGTTTAATGGATAACGTCAAACCTTGTCCCATGCCAAAACTAGCAAAACACTCCAATTTCTCTTCAGCCCAACGACAGGCTCATCTGAAAATGAAAAGGCCCCGCTCCCACCCCTCGTTTTCCTGCTCCACTGATACTAGCGTTATCGTCAAAATAAATCACTTCGACCTTCTTCGTCCACGTAGCCAGACCATCTTAACCGCGCGCCCTTTCCAATACGAGGTCAACTCAGTCATTTTAACATGGCGTTCCGGAAATAAAAGAAGATACTTAGGGTATTTCCGTCCGTTCAGATTTATAAATAGTTGAATGCTTCCCCTTCCCGCACTTAAAATACGCGAAACCAATCCGTGTTTGGGTGCTTTGCGGGTAAAGAATGACATAGAGTTTGAAATATATATATATATATATATATATATATATATTTTTGGACTGAGACGGAGAGGAAACCAGGGGATCGACCGAGTTCTACATCAGTTTTGATGGCGAGAGGAGTGTAGAAGACGAAGGGAGAACGAAGGCGAAGCGTAAAAGGAACACCTTTATTGATATCTCCCAGTTCTTCCGTGCTATTTCTGCGAGTTTTCCTCTCTGTTCTGTTTCCTCCTCGTCTCCGATCGATTGCTGTGCAGGTCAAACTGCGAAAAAGATCTGATTTTGGTATCCGGAGAGTTACTAATTTATGACGAAGAGGAAGAAACTCGGATTCTCTACTGAATTCAAGTTCTTAGCTTGAATCCTGGTTCGGCTCTGCTGCTATTCAGTCCGATCCACACGAAAAGGAAGCAGAGAGAGAGAGAAAGGGAGAAGAAAGGGAATAGTTATGTACGGATCTCCATCTGCCGTAGCAACTAAAGATTTCAACATCCCTCTCAGTCGCCGGAAAGAAGAATCCGATCATCAGAGGCAGCAACAGATGAGCTCCGGCATGCTCCGGTACCGCTCTGCTCCGAGTTCTCTGCTTGGGGAGGTATGCGAGAACTTACTTCATGTTAGACCCTCAAGCCCCGAGACAGAGTCCATCTTCGCTCGCTTTCTCTCCTCAGATCTACGCGACGAAAAGACTGCCGCCGGCGAGAGAAATCCTCACTTCAAGCTATCGCCGGAAACGGAGCAGAACAGTGGGTTCCCCTGTGCTCCGTCCCAGATGCTGTATCATTCTCAGCAACAACAGTCTGTAACTGACGGAGCAAATCCAATCCGGCAGAGCAGCTCTCCCGCTGGTTTCTTTTCCCATTTAAACGTCGACAACGGTAAACATTTACTCTACTTTTTCTATCATGATATCAAATCCAACTGCGGCAGTAGAAGCTTCAGCTTTCATATATTACCCACGCTGCGAAACTGTCTGGTTTCGATAAAAATAGCATTTTTTTCTCCGGTTATCTCACGAATATGCTCCTGTCTCTTCTTTGCCATAAATACTGAAGCGAAAAATTGTTCATTTCTGTGTCCTTTAGGTTATGGCTTGATGAGAGGAATGACTGCTGGTATGAAGGGCCAGATTAACTTCTCCTCCCGGCAAAACTCGCTGTCTCAAATCTCAGAGATGGGAAACGATGGAGTCTCCGGTGATGACCGAAGTCCGGTGGAAAGCCACAATGGCCGTTGCTTCATCCCAGGCTACCCTGTATCCTCCTGGGAAGACACTTTGCTTTCTGATAACATCTCAGGTTTCAAGAGGTCAAGAGATGTCGTAGGGCTGAACCAAACGGAGCTCCACGTACTACCGTAACACTTTCCCATCATCTTATTCCCCGCCTATCTTCTGCTTTTATAACTGATCTGGATTTGATAGGATCAAGATATCAAAAATCACCAAGTCTCCGGCCTTACTCACCACTTCAGCTTGCCGAAAACTTCGTCGGAGATGGCGGCGATTGAGTTCTTACAGTTTCAGGATTCAGTTCCCTGTAAGATCAGAGCGAAGAGAGGCTGCGCTACGCATCCTCGGAGCATTGCTGAAAGAGTAAAGCCTTCTCTTTTAATCGTTAATTATGATCGACTAACTGATCTAAAAGCTAAAGTTTGAATCTTTGCAGGTGAGGAGGACACGGATTAGCGAAAGGATGAGGAAGCTGCAGGAGCTAGTGCCCAACATGGATAAGGTAAGCCAATGGAACAGTGATTGATCAAAAGTTATCAGTTTCTGCGACTTTGACATGTATTATTAGTGTTTGTTCATTAATTGTTTATTGATTGGGTTCAATTTAACAGCAAACTAACACTGCGGACATGCTGGATTTGGCCGTTGACTATATCAAAGATCTGCAGCGGCAAGTCAAGGTAGGGAGATTTGGAAATCGGCTTATAGTTCTTGTACGTTCGGTGTTAGATCCATCTCGCTCCTGCTAATCTGCAGGCTGTTTTCGCAAATTTTTCCATTAGAAATCTATAAAAATTAGCAAATCAGATTATTTTTGAATTGATTTTAGCTTTCAGTATCAGAAGTCATTTTTTTTTACGTGGAAGATATTACTAGGAAATGATAAATTATTTACTGTTTTTTAAAGCTTTAAATTCGGACAGTTGATTAATTATTATGAGGCGAATTAAGTTCCTCTGTATTTGCAAAAATGACCTGCATTCGAACTTAAATTTAATTCAAAATATTTGGAAACAATATGTAGCTAATTTTGGAATTAATTGATTTTTTTTTTTATCTCTGCAGACAGTAACAGATAGCAGGGCAGCCTGCACGTGCTCAGCTAGCCAGCAGAAGCCTTATCAGAACCCGACAAGCTAATAAATCAGCTCGTTGTACAGTCTAATTAAGAAGATAAGAAGAAGGATAAAATGAACGCACTGTTTCGAATCAGGTGAGCCTTTAGATTCCGTGGTCTCTCTAAAAAGAGAAACAAGCTTGTATTTCTTTTCCTTTTTTTTCCTTTTAATTTGAGGTAGATGAAAATTGTATAGGTATGTGATTTTAGATGTTACACCTACCACAAATTTGTCTCCTTTTCTCCCTCTCTCCCTCTCTCCCTCTCTCCCTTAAATAAGAATTGGCCGAATTACGTTTTTGCATGATGCTGTAGATTGGATGGAACAGAAACGTTGCATGTTTGCTTGCGCTCATTGATTTCATGATTTTTTTTTCTTTTTTTTTGCTGTGGCAAACTAACTGTAGGGATTGAGAGATCTCATCTTGAGCAATTGATTGATTTGAAGGTGATCAGTATTAGGCTAGAGTTGGATGCTGGCAAATGAGAAATGTCAGAAGTTTAGCGATAATCTGCACTTGGTTTTCCTGTTCTTTTAGTAGGGTTTGTAATCAGGCAAATTGGGAGAATGTTTGTGGTTTGCGGATGTTAGTCGTTGACATGATTAAGGCAATGAGATTTGTTGTGTTCGAGCTTGGACCCTAGTGATTGATAACCATGGAAGTTTGTTGGTCGTTAAAGTCGAGTTTAGAGTGGCAGCTGAAATCCTGCATTGAGTTCACAAATTTCAATTTTTTATTGCTTTTCTTTTACCATGGATGTCAGGAAGGACATTGTATCATTTCTATTAATGAAAGGGTACTGGCCTCCAAATTATTTCATAATTTTAGATAATTGGGGTTTGATTGGGATCAATTTTATTATTTTTATTTTTATTTTTCTTTTATTTTTAAGAACATGGTGTGATTTTTAGTTTTATTTATATGTTTTATTTTTTGTTTCTAAAATAAATAAGCTTATTTTTCAAAATATTCAAAATAACTTTTAAATGTTTTGAGTATTTTCAAAAATAGTCATATAATAATCATACCAAATATATTTTATTTAAAAAAAATAAACAAAAAAAATAAAATAAAATAAAAGTGGTCTCAAATGGGCCTTTAATGACTTAATAAACTTAAAATTTCATATATTTGGGCTTTTAACTTCATCTTGTTGAGATATTCATTTTTAATATAAGCACTCAAATTTGAAGAATATTTAACATCTTGAAGGAATGATTGGATTTTATAATATAATTTTGAATGCTTAAATCAGGCTTATTTAGGCTCAAATTTATATAATTTTAATCCAATTGGAATTGTCTTATTGAATCAAACTATCTAAACTATATTTTTTTTAAATGAAAACCTAAGTTAAAAAATAGTTGTAAATTTTTTTTTGACCAAAATGCTTAAGTGTTTTCAAATTTAAAAATTATTTTAAATTTTATATTTTTGACTCATATCCATATACAAAGAGGGGGTATGATTTTTCTCTTTTTTTTTTTTTAATTTCAGAAGTAAAAATTATTACTATCTCAATTTTCAATATTTTGTATGGATGTATCATTATAAAAAAACTGAGTTTGATGTTCAAGATCTCGATATATTTTTATTTTGAAGGGTTCGTGATTTTGAATGGCATATTTTATGCAGTCCTCATTGGTTGTAAGTTTGCGCTTTCCATTCGATCTATAAAAAATTAAATTAAACTTTTTAAAGAATATGGTTAAAAAAAGTTGTGTCATAATATCTTAGTGTTGAATTTTGATTTGTATGTGAATCAAAGTCAATGAATATAACAGAAATAAGGAGGGAGAGGTGGGGGGAGAGAGAGAATAAATAGTAATTCATTATGTCTTATTCATAAAATGGCTCTTCTATTTATAGAGGAGAAAATACAATGATGATTGACATTTTTCCCCTACTTTATAGGAGTATCTAAGAGGATATTTCTAGTATTTTACATATATAGATTTGTCATCTCGCCTCTTTCTTACTCGATCATATAAGTTTAATTGGTTTCGTTTAAGCGGGATCAGCTTTGTTGATTGAGATTAGTTGGTATGGGTAGACCGTTTGATATTACTCAACTGTTGATCCTTGATCCCTAATGAGGAACTTCCGGAGCCTTCCATAAAATAGGTGGAGATGTTGTAGAACTAGATTTTCTCTTGGATCGACTCTACTAGGGCTAGGCCGCCGCATAAGGTCGACTTTTCCCTATATCGGTTGGCTTGGATGCTCATTTATTTTCATTTCTGGCTAAATTATTCAAGCTCGGATCATCTTGTCATCTTCTTGTCTCTCTCATGGCTTGGTCTGTTTTGGGCTTGCTAACTTGGCTTGTATGACTTTGTTTCATTGAATAAGTGAACCTCATGATTTTCTAGCGGTGGCTCAGTTTTCTTCGTACTCTTCCTTTCTGGACCGTTAGATCTACTTAAGATCAGCGCTAGCACATCGTTGATTTACACTTAGAAAAATTATACTAGGATGACCTTAAAACTATTAAATTTTCTTGTAATTTAATAATATATCAAAAAAGTGTAAATTATGGCTCATACGATTTGAGTTCAACCAAAAGGAGGTTGTTTGAACTCGAGCTAATTTATGAAAATCCTAATTGTAGTTGGCTTGTGCTTTTAGAATTTTGTTCAAATTTGGCTCATTTAACATCAAGCCTTTCTTAGCGTGACTCGAGCTCGATTCATATTGTGATCTGTGAGTGTATTACTGAGCAGCATGTTTAATAAAATAAACATGCCTAACCGAGCTTATACAAGCAATTATTTGAAATAAAATGAAGTTGTTTTATCAAAGTATTTGCCTCTGACTAAATAATAATATCTTAAAGGATGCTAATTTGGTTGAACCTTAATCAAGCTTCTCATTGAGCTTGTTTTTAATAGAAATTGTTCATAACATTCCGAAAATTAATAAGCAAGATTTTCGAGCTCGTTCTTTTAACAATCAATTAGTAGCAATAGCAAAAGTGTTCATGCTTGTCCGATTAACGAATCAAACAATCATTTTCATGCATGTGTAATGCGGTATTTATATAAAACATAAAGTTGTAGGTGTTAGATATGTAAACACATATGAATTAAGTGATATATATGTGAATTTTGGTAATCATAATACCAATCATAATAACTAAGGCACTTTAAAAACGAACAAAAGTGTTACTGAATGCATCAACAAAATCAAGATTTGAGTAGCCGATTTCTTCCCAAGAAAGATGAGCTTAAAATGTTAACATGTGTGATTTGAATTTACGATCTTTCCTCTCCGTGAAAAACTAAGGTGATATTTGGTAGCATAGAATTTATATAATTTAACTATGAATTTAGCTTAAATCTAGCAAAGTGCTATATATATATATATATATATATATATATATAAAGCTAACTACAATTTCTTACCTTTC